ACTTTAATTGATTTGTTTTAATAATTTAGGTTATTTTGAATGTATGTACAATAGAGTAAAATAATTAATTTACCATAATTTTTTTTTGTTCTTCTCATATGCTCATGTATAATAGTTACTTTCTCTCTTCAAATTCACCATTCGACAAGAAATTTCTTGTCGAGCAAACTCATGTGAGATGATTCACATTTTCACCATGATGAAAGTTACAGAATCACGTGAACTGCTCACTTTTCGCATTTTTACTACATTTTTTTTTAACTAGAACAAAAAATTATCTCGGCAAGACTTTCAAATTTCCGCAGCAAAGCTACACGAGAGAAGTGATTTCGAGTGATCTCTGTTGGACAAAACTATTTACCCTATATTTTTAATCTAGTGATGTCGACAGTTTACACAATCGAGTGAATACTTTCACGTGAGATGAAAGTGCGAAAAGTGAACCATCTCACCTAAATTAGATAATCGATGCCCAGAACTAGCGCTGATAGTAAATAGTACAAAACTAACAGAAAGTCGACCACCTGATTGGCTACTGCTTTTCCGCTTTCCGTTTCTCCGTCAAGGTGTGAACCCGGCCTTAAGGGCGTGTTCACACCTAGGCGGAAAAGTGTAAAGCAGAAAAGCGGAAGCCAATCAGAACACGCGCTGGTAGTAGGCAGTACTTTCCGCTAGTGACCCTCTAATAAGAGTCTGGCCACCTTCTCCCCGGTTTGTGATTGGTCCGACATTTATCATCCATTCCCGCAAATTTCTTTAAATTTATAAACTGTAAAAATTAATAAATTCGTAAAAATTGAAGTAGAATCAATTACAATTTTTATTTTTATTATTATTTAACTTATATTAACATTATTAAATATTTTCTATAAAAACTTTTATGTAAAAAAAACGTTGCAATATGTCTTTCATAAAATAAAAACAACAATTAAGTAAGTATTATAAATAGATTGAAAATATAAAAATTAATATATTAAGAATATATAAAATTTATAAAAATATTACAAGATTAAGAAACTTTAATAAAAATTAAATTTAAATACAAATAATACAATTAATGCTTTAAAATTCTTAACAAAAAATACTTAGGTAGCACCAATAGGGAATAAATAAAGTAGTATATTTATG